CACTGGCATTTGGGACAAAAGTAAAAAGAAAGAATAGACAGAAGCATTTTAAAGAGTGAGCTTGTTTTTCTCGGTCCAAAAACTAGTGGCTTCAAGTAAGAGCAGATAAATTCTATGAGGCTCAAACATTTTGTTTTCCATTCTAGTTTACTTTTATCCACAGTTTGTGAGAGGCAAAGACAGCCGGCTTCATTTTGCAGAGATTGTTTTCTTTAATGATTGTGGATTGACATAATTCTCAGACGTGAGCTAGAACATGAATATATAGTATCAGTTTTAGGTTAAAAAAAGAAAAAAGCCAAGTTCCTAAACATAGTTTTTTTTAATAGGCAAAAGCATCCTTGCATACTGTGCGGCTAGTCAAACCATGTTTGGAGTGAGCCATGAGTTCTGAGGAACTTGTTTCTTTGTTTTTTAATATATTTTAATTTTTAATGGGCATGATATTGTGCATAATTATGGGGTATTTGTGATATTTCAATACGTGTGTGACATGTAATGATCGAGTCAGGATAATTGGCATATTACCACCTCAGACATTTATCATTTTTTTGTATTGTAAACAAAGTTCAAATACTCCGGCCACCATTTATTGAAAAACCATCCTTTTTTTAGTAAGTTATCTTTGCACCTTTCTTAAAAAAGCATTGGCCACATTATACAGGCTTACTTTTGGACTCAATTTTGCTCCACCCTTGTGTTTATCTCTTCCCTTCACTTAAACAGCACTGTCTTGATGACAGTAGGGATCACTTTGGTTTTTAAACTAACAGTGCTTTGTTGATGGCATCTGGCCTATCTACAGGATGTAAAATGCAGATCCAAGCTGAGTCTGCACAGTGGTGAAAATCAAGGGCCTAAAACCCTCCTAAGAGTTGAAGTTCAAGAGTTCTGGATGTGTCCAAGGCTGAAGCTTTTCATTTTACTCTGAGTGGGTAACAGTTGGATGTTTCATACTCTGTATCTGTTTTACTTTGAAAATAGTTGGTCTAATATCAACTTTTATTATTTAAAAATAAATGATGAGCAATGGGTAAAATATAAATGGACCTTTTGGGGATGCTGGTAAGGTTGGTCTGGGTTCTTAATTACCACGTGTTTCCCTTTTGTGAAAATGCATCGGCCGTGCATCTAATAATTTAATTGAACAGTTTACCAAAAAATGTAGAAAAGTTTATTTTGAAAAGTAGATATCTCTGGATTGTGACTTGAGAAGTAAAGACTTTTCTTTTCCACTTTTTACTCTCCCGGTTGCTCCCCTGTTTTTAATGTGTTACCTTTAGAAACTATCTCAAGGGATTTTCAGCACTTTGACTATAAAAAAGAAAGAACTAAACTTTTATGTATGCACATGCTGAAGATGGCCAAGACTTATACCTAAGAGAAAAAAAACATGTTATAAAACAAATATTATATAGTGTGCAGCTTAAAAAATTGAAAAAGCCATACACCACTGACAGCATTTCATTCCTCTCTTGCTTTTCTTTAGAGTTTCACCACATATATGTTGATGCTTAAATAGTACATTGATTCAAGTTGTTTATTTTGGAACTTAAATACTTTTTTCTTGGTACCGGGGATTGAACTCGGGTCCTTGAGATTGTGAAGCAGGTGTCAAAACCACTGAGCTAAATCCCCAGCCCGGAACTTTAAATACTTTACATTTATTCTGTTTATACTTTTAATTTAGTAAGTTTTAATTTAAGACCATTTGAATCTACAGTCACCAATCTGTCCTCCTTTTGGGAATAGCTATCTCCTAGCTGGAAATAATTTTTCTGTAGACTTTCTTATTTTTTTTCCCATGGGTCAGGGTGTGCTACACTCCAACCCATTGATGATTTCAATAGCTGAACACAGAGTTAGAAGGTGGGGCTTGTTTGGAGGTGTGATGTGAAAAGAGGTATTATTGTACCTGCCTCCTCCCTTTTCTCTCAGCTTCCTAGCTGCCGTGGACTGAACAGCTTTCCTTCTCTGCTGTGCGTTTCTGCCTTGGAGCCAACCAACCATGGACTGAATCTTCCAAAAACTGTTAGCCAAATAACGTCCTCTCCGTTAAGCTTCATGTGTTGAATATTCTGTCCCAGTGATGGGAAACCTAACCCATTCCCCCTTTATGTCTACAGAACACTATCCTGTCCAGAGACACTTCCTCCTCCATAGTTCAGCCATTCTGGAGGCGACTCCTTGGCTTTCTCCTGCAGCCTACACTTCCCCCAGAGCACGCAGTGTGCATGCCTGATCCGGCTCCATGGGAAGAGGCCCCACCCACTTCTAAAGTGGAGTGGATCGGCGGTTTATTGACCTTGGTGCAGGAATGGTCCAGCTTTCTCCATTCGCAAGTCCCAGCTCGGCCATTAACCAGAAGTGTGACTTCAGCCAAGTTATGTACCAAACTCGCTGAGCGTCTGTTTTATTCACCAGTGGGACAGGGACTAATATTTGCCCTGGAGGCTCCCTGGGAGCAATGAATAAAGCGATGAATGAAAGACCCAAGTAAGGTAGCAGGGAAGTTGCAAATGCTCAGTGTATGTTTGTTCCTTTGCCTTCTCCAGCGACAAGACACAGGTGCCCTTACTTAATCCAATTTTTAAAACTTTGTAGCTATTTGGGGGGAAACCCCAGAACACCTCCTTCATCTTTCCTAGCGCGGAGTCTGAGACTGCTCAAAGCCACGCAGCGTGTTGGGTTGGCCATTCTGGCCTTCTAGAGCCCAGTCTTTTCCTGTCCCAGGGGTTAACCACACTCAGGCTTCCCTCCTGCTCACAGCAGCAGTATCTCACCGAGTGTGTCACCCTCAGCTTTCTCACTTGTGAAACAGACTGTTAGCCTTAGCAACGAATTAAGGTTGATAGGAAGTCCAAATGGAATCTTGAAAGGGAAGGCTCTTGGAGATCCTCAGGAGTTTCCTCGGAAAGTTAACAAAATACTGTAGCTTTGGGGCCACAGTGACACCTGGTGGCCATTATTCAAATTGCACGACACTCTTTCCTTCCCCTGCCCCATTCCTTCTGCCCCAGCTTCTGTCTCCTTTAACACTAAATGAATTTTTTTTAACCCTATGTTTCAACATAAGGGTTAGGGGGTTTCATTTACTAGGCTTCTATGATACTAAATCCTAAGAGTGCAGCAGGGCCTGAATGGACACGGGGACATAGGGACATCTGGAAGTATCCAATCAGCAAACAGCCAGAGGGAGACCAGCGTGTATGGACAAGAACTTGGGCTGCGGGCACTTCAGGTCAACCTCACTAGTCAGCCAATCTCATTAGGTCCAGAGCAGGTCTCTGAACTCCCTCTTCCAGCTCTGCCCAAAGCCCAGTGCTGGAGAGCCCCAGGTTGTCTGCCTGTGGTGGAGGCTCCCCCGCGCTTCAGTTCCGAAGCTGTTCTCTGGCCACCAGTCAAGTGTCAGCCATTTTCCAGGTGCTGCTGTGTTCCCCAGAGCCCTCACTCACCCTCTTCTGGCTGTGGTCCAAGCACCCTTATATTCCCCCACCCACGCCCAGAATAAGACCTCTCAGTAGAAAGTTACTTTGCTGATCCCCAAATTCTTTTGCCACATCTTTCTTCCTATTGCTGCAGGATGGGGCCATAAGTAGCACATTGGGGTGATCTGAGCTCCAGGGTGATTGCGTGATTCCAGGTATTTTTACTTTTTAAACAGAGATTTATATATGTGTCCGTGTACCTTGTTTATGTTAATTTTGCAAATGACAAATCCAGGGAAGAAAGTTTTGCCCTTTTTTGTCTATAAAAATAAGAAAAAGTTGAGCCAGCCATTACAATATTAATGCAAAAAATGTACTCTACAGTTTTTCTTTACCCAGTACCAGAGGTGCTTGCAAGGCAGGCACGGTGCCAGTGAGCTAAATCCCCAGCCCTGCACTTTGTTTTTTTAAGAGCGTAATATAAGCCTGGAATGAGGTGGGTGGACATGATGGGGCAAGGTTCTCAGCATTTGCTGCACACTTTCAAAACAACTGAGTCTTTTAAGGAAAACCAACTGAGCTGTGTCAGTTGCCCTCTCTGGCCTGCGAACTCAGTCCCTGGGAGGGGCTGATGTTCATGGGCTTACTGAAAAGGGAACACTATTATCAATAATATATTAGTTAAATGCAATATAAATATTATTAGTAAGCATATATCAGTAGGTAAGTGTATCTGATTATCAATAATATATTACCCATTAATATATTATCAGCCATGAATAACAGAAGTGGGAATTTAGCCCAGAGGCTGCTCTTGGACTCCCTGAGCATGTGCTCCCAATCCTTTTCAAACTTCATTTGGAGACAGTATCTAGTTAAGTTGTGTGCGCTGGGCTCAAACTCCTCATCTTCTTGCCTCCTCCTTGAGAGTATCTGGGATTACAGCCATGTCTCTCCGCACCCAGCTTATGTTTACATTATTTATATAATATTTATATATTATCTGTATATTATATATTATTTGTATATTTATATATAACATATAAAATAGTATTACTATGAAAACTATTGCTATAAATTAAAGCTTAACATGAGCGATATGGGAATTATCGTCCAATGCTTAATAATAAGTATAAATTCATCACAACTAAACAAAATTTAAAAATCAGCCCCTCAAGTGCCAGGCAGCCCTACAAGGCTGACGGCTGCCACCCTGGACAGTTCTGAGGGACAGGATGTGTCCATCCTCACAGGAAGTCCAGCTGCATAGGTGAGGTGTTGGCAGGCTTCGGCAGCCTCTGAACAGGCCCATGGCCATGGTGTCTGTATAACGCGGCATTTGGTGAATTAGGCCCCTGTTTTCCTGCTCAATTAGTTGAGTCCTGGGAAGGCTTGGTAGGAGTCACCCAGAGACCGTGGCTCCAGGCCCCGTGCAAATGGGGGGCGCCTTCCACAGGGAGGCCCGGAGGAGAGGGAGGATTTGGGAGTGATCCGCATCGCAGGGAGGACAGCAGAGTCCGCGCTGGCCAGGAAAGCCTTTATTCCTACAGGGAGACCTTGGGCTTCTTCCTGTTAACCCTCCCCCGGGACATTAAGCTTCTCCTTCACCCCACAGGCCACCACGGCGAAGAAGAACTCGGGGAAGAAGGTGCGGACGTAGAGGGCGGCCTTGGGGATGGGGTTGGCAATGAGCACCTCCTGCTTCTTCCGCCGCACCGTGCGCATCACCTCCTCCGCCACTTCGCCAGGGTGCACACCGTGGGCCAGCTTCCTGAAAAAGACTGAGAGGCCCCAGAGGGCAGGGGCTTAGGGTTAACAGGTGGGGAGCAACCCTCTGCTGCCCAAAGATGGGGGACAAGCGGGGTGCCTCTGGTGTAGCGGTGTCAGGGCCGTGATTGGCCAGCCTTGATGTCTGGCGGGCCACTGTACCCCTCTGGGCTTCCGCTTCTGGATCAACTAAGTGGGCCTCATTCTGGCCTTGATAGTTTAGCTGGAGCAGTATGTGCAGTAGAGCGGCTTGGGAAATAAGGTCCCTTTCCACCCTCTGAGAGGCTGAGTCAGGAGGTTAGCAAGTTTGAGCCCAGCCTGGATAACTTAGCGAATTAGTGACCCCTGTCTCAAAAAAAAAAAAAAAAAAAAAAAAAAAAAAAAAAAAA